GAAACCTGATCACTTTAACCCTGAAGGAATCCACAGTCTCTCATCCTCTGTGGGATCAAAACCCAAAGCATTTTTGATTTCCATTTGACAATTATATGTTTTGACTTCTTCTTTAAAATAATATCTAGATTGGTTCTTTTTAGCAGTCCAGTCCACAGTCCCATGTGTCCTAGCAGCTGTCTTTGGCTTCTCAACAGTCCAAACATTTAAAATCAGCACAAACAGGATCCAAACTACGGATTCCCCCTCTATGTAGAAGGGTTTTTATTCTTAGATTTTATTCTCTCTTTAAAGATTTCATTTCATGGGCTGGAGAGATGGCCCAGAGGTTAAGAGCACTGACTGCTCTTCTGGAGGTCCTGAGTTTGATTCCCAGCAACCACATGGTGGCTCCCAACCATCTGTAATGAGATCTGATGCCCTCTTCTGGCCCGCAAACATACATGCAGGCAGAACATTGTATGCATAATAAATAAATAAATCTTAAAAAAAAAAATAAAGATTTCATTTCATAAACTATTAGTTTCTTTTTCTATGACTGTACCCTTTTCTTTTCTTAACCCTACGCACACAGTTAAACACACTGTAACCTGCTTAGAGATTTTTCTTTTCAGATCTCTTTTACTGCGTATCTCTAGTCTTTTTTGACCATAGGAGCAAACCCTAGACTGGTTTGGTACACCTGGAACCTCCCAGCACCCTGTTCTTGACTGGATCCGCCCACTTCTCCAGATGTGGAAGCCAAGCAGAAACTCAAGGCCCTCAGAGGTTTGTCTGACCAGGAACTGCATTCAGCTTTCCTAGTTCTCCAGAATGCCAATGCTTGCACTGCACCAGGCATTATTCTTTAGTTTTTTGTTCCTTCTTAACTGTTCAAGGGCTCTGTAACCTGCAGCAATGGACCCGCCAAAACTCTTAAAGGAGCACACACTCCATCTCAATGAACTCAGCCAGGCTGTACTTCTCCATGGGCTGACTCACATGCTACCATAGCACCACAGTGACCTCCTGCCAGGGGAAGGTGGTTACCAGTATCCAGGCTTATCTCTGGCAAGCAAGAGGCAGACTTGCAAGGGCCACAGACTATCAGTAATTTCAGAGGGGAGCTCTGTGACAAGAAGCTCTTAGGAAGGGTGTCAGAGGGAGCCAGGCTGGCACCTGGCTGGCTCAAGCCTTACTTGCCCATCACCCAGCAGCCAGCAGCTCTGGCACTAACATCCTAGTGTTAACCTTCAGTGTGATTCCAGTCACTACAGATACAGATGCTCAATGAAGACCCTGAAATGACTCCATCCCAGTCCAGCTTAGGGGAGCAGTGACTTTATTGGGGTCCCATGTTCATGGGTGACTCATGACAGCTGCATCCAGGAGGTCCCCTGGGCCAGTTGCAGCCAGGTCCATGGAGGAGTTTTCTCTCCCCTTGTATCCCCAGGAGTAGTTCCCTGAGGCTGAGGAGGGCACTGGAGGCTTGGAGCTTCCTGGTTCTCCTTCTTCCATCAGGCCAAAGGTGTTTCAGTCAGAGGGGTAACAGCTAGAGAATAATAAACAGTCACAAGGTGTTCTGAGCTGTCTACAGATGAACAAATCCATACACAGAGACTGGCCCACCATATGCATTGTTGATGTCTGAGGAGTGTTGGGAGAATTCCACAGAGCTACAGCCTGTGTGACCCCAGAGTGTTAGCACCTAGCTTAGATCTGTCCTTTGTGATTGCTACCTCCTGTCTCCTGGACCTTCTCTTTGAAGTCTTATCTGAGAGTTTCCTAGGGGTTCAAAGCCCATGAAAACTTAGATTAGGAACAGCCCAGAACACTGTGGTTGTTCTTTCTTGAGAATTTGCTTTTGGCATCATCCCTTTGGGGGGGGGCTTAGATAAAAGCTTTGGTGTAGGAATTGACATGATAAATGTGTGAATTGTATAATAATGAAAGGGCCCTCTGCTAAGCTAGAGTGGAGCAGCCCATAGAGACCAATTCCCCCTGCAGCTGGGAAAGGCTAGACTCATCCCTGAGGTGCTATTCTCTCTTCATTCCAGTGACTTGCTAATTGAAGCTCACTGATTCCAGATATAAAGCACAGAGGGCTCTTCACAGGAGACCTCAAGAGGAGTGGGCTGGTCAATCTTCCTTGGGCCCTCACAACACAGCAGGGCCCCTCCCAGGAGAACCCCTCCCAGCAGAAGTAGCAGGGAGCTGAGCCAGCCCAGGTAGAGTGAGGCTCCCATCTCTGGTTTCAATGGGAGAACCATCTGAGGGTTGGTGATGCCAAGGATGACATTGTTTGTTACCCATGACACAGACACCAGCAGCAGCAGACCAGCCCCCAGGAACAACCCACTTGCCACCATCTTGATCTTTTCATTATTCATATTTGACACACATATGATACGTTCATCCCCAATCATGTACAGCAGCAAACCCAGGCAGATGATGAAGATGCAGATGACCACCAGAACTCGAGACACCTTCAGGTCCTGTGGCACTACCAGGTGTGAACTGTACTGGATGCATTTCAGGCTCTTGAGTCCATTAATCTCACACAGGAGCCAAAGGCCCTCCCAAATGCTGGTCTCTTCAGAAAATCTCATCACATGCCACAAGGGCAGGCCACAGCTGATAATGGCCACTAGGCTGCCCAGCTTGATCAGAGAGAAGCTGGCTTCTTCCAGTACCCGGCGACCCATGGCTCATCCTCTGCTGGACACAGGACACAGGAGACAGAGGGGATCTGGCTCTCAGCTGCAGGGTTCATAGGGCTGAGGTTGGATTTTCACCATGTCCATAGTGAGCTGTCCTGAGAACCAGCAACAGAAATGAGGGTCACTATAGAGTCAGACTGGTCCCCAACAGGAGGGACCTCAGCAGTTGACACAGCGTCCTGGTGAAATAGGCTAAGCTGATATGGGATTTGGCAGAGGGTGGGGAGAGGGAGGAGTTTCAGGGCACAGGCCTCATGGGATCAGATCTCTGTACTCTTTTAATGTGTGTGTGCATGTTGATGTGTGTGAGTACATGTTTCTGTGTGTCTTCATGCACAAGAATGTGGACACAGAGGGCAACCTCTGTTGTCATCTTCAGGAACTCTATATACCACCTTTGAGATGAGGCTCCTCAATGGCCTTAAGTTCACCAATTAGGCTAGAATAGCTGGCCAGGGTCCTGGGTAGTCAGGTGACAACACTCCTAATTCCCTAAGCCATCCTAGGGTACTGAGTTCTGGGGATCTGAGGACACAATACAGAATAGGGACATTGGTCAGCTGCACACACAACAGAGACCTCCTGTGGTCCCCTGCACTGCTATATCTGATGTGAGGTTCCATCTTATCAACTTATCAGGATGTAGAATCCCCATGGATACAAACCTCTGGGAATATCTGAGAGGATGTCTAGACTGGGATACTGAGGTGAGAATCCTCACCCTGTGGGCATCACCGTTCTGTGGTTTGGGGCCCCAGCTGAATGGAAAGTAGAAAGTGACTGAGCCCCAGCATCACCTCCCTCTGCTTCCTGCCTGTGGATGTGATGTGACTGCCTGCCTCGTGCTCCTGCCCCAAGACATCCCTGCCATGATGGACTGTATTCTGGGAACCAAGTAAGCCCTTTCTTTGCCCAGGTTGTTTTGTGTCAGTGTTTTATGACAGCCAGAGAGGCAAACTTCTGGATGGTGTTGCAAACACCTTTGATCCCAGCACTTGGGAGGCAGAGGCTTTTCTATCTCTGTGAGATCCAGGCCAGCTTGTATACAGATTGAGTTATGTTTCAGCTAGGACAGAGTAACACTGTCAGAGAGGGTGAGGGAAGAAGGAGAGTGAGGGAGGTTGGGAAAGAGGAAGGAAGGGAGAGAAAAAAAGCACTCAGGCACACTAGAACATAGTCTGAGTTGATCTCAAGGATAAACAGGGCAACATGTAGACAGAGGCCCACCTTCTCTTCTCCTGGTGGGTGAAGGATCCAGGGCTGATCCTGGTACTGAGCAATTCATTCTCAGCTGGGGCCTTCCAGGACTGCAGACCTCCTCCAAGCATCAGCAGCATGGAGCTGGATCAGTCTGAGTGGAGCCAGACACCCTACTCTGCTTTCTGCATGGAGCCCAAGAGTGCATCTGAGCAGCCATAGATGAAGTTGTGTGTTCTCCAGGACATGGGCACCATTGACTACAGGCCAGCACCAGGATCATGGCACCCACCCTCCTCACAATCATGACATCACCTCTGTCATTAGGCAGCCATGATGACACTCAACCTCAAACATACACAGCAGCAAACCCATTTCATTAGACAATGACCATGAGGACCTGAGACACCTGTGGCCCTGAGCTGATGTGACCCAGTAGCCATGGTCCTTAGACTGCATGCTGCATTGTCTGTGAACCTGGTACATTTGCCATAGACCCCGCCTAACATAGGATTCCAGCCGTGTCTCACATTCAAGAGATACTGTCACCCTTCACATGGGTAGCACACAGCTCCAAAAGCCACAGGCCTGCCCAATCTGGCCACAGAGTGCTGACCTGCTGCAGGACACTGAGAATCATGGCCCAGAGTCACTGCAGTTAGGTAAGGGAGTTAGGGGGATCTGGGCTGAGCTGCGGGATCCCAAGGACTGATGATGGTCCTCAAAAGTGTTCAGAGAAAGCCTTTCCCTGGACACAGACAGACACAAAAGCAGACAGAGACTCAGTCCACACCAACAACAACTACCTCTGTAGAAGCAGATGTCCCCGGCAGCAGTGTGAGGACAGCAGTTGACAGAGGCATCTGGTGATAGAGACTGGGGGAGTCTGAGTCTATGACAGGGGGTGGGGCACAGGGTGGAGCTTCAGATCATTGACCTCACAACCAGCCTGTACTGCCTTATGTAAAAAGTGTGTGTGTGTGTGTGTGTGTGTGTGTGTCTGTGTCTGTGTCTGTGTGTTTGTGTCTGTGTCTGTGTCTGTGTCTGAGTTACCTACAGATGAACAAATCCAAAATACAGAAAAACTGGCCCACCTTATGCATTGTTTTTGTCTGTGGAGTGTAGGCAGAATTCCCACAGAAGTATAGAAGCCTCACAACCCCTTTCTTCCCAGGCTGCTCTTGGTCATGGTATTTGTCACAGCAGTAGAAACTCTGAGACACTCTGTCTTTGTCTGTCTCTGGGTGTCCCACCTTACCTCAGTGTTGCCTGGCACTGTACACTTTTGTCCCTGGGGCACATTTGGTATGGTCAGTGTGCAGCAGGTTGTCAGGAAAACCTGATTTTTGAGGGCAGCATGACCCCTCCACTCTGGAATCTGTCCTTGTTAATGGGTGTGAGGAGAGTGTGTGGGGACACCATCAGCTTCCACTGGACATGAATGAATGTTGCATGACAGGTCCCTCAAGAGAGGACATGCTCAGGTCCAATGTAGAAAACAGAGTGGTTAATGTGGTCTGGGGGTCAGTGATGCCATCAGGGACCCAGCCATGTCACTGTTCTTCTCTGTCACCTTCTGCTCCCAAGCCTTGGTGCCCAGTCTGTCAACTCATCATGCTGGACACTTCTCTAGAGGACAAAGGGAGAGCTCTGGGCTTGGTGGTGTACACCTGAGAATCATCATTGTGGAGGTTAAGGCAGAGGATCGCGAGTTCAAAGCTGACCTGTGCCATGTCACAAGAGTGTGCAATATACACAGAAGGTGGCAGTAGGGAGGCCAGAGAACAT